GTCCCACAGCTCATCGAGAGCGCTGTGATTACATTGAGTGGGTTTGTGACCGGTCGGCTAAGCCTTCCGTCTCTCACCCGGGTTGGCGAGCTTTACCGGGAGGGTCCGGTTGACGCACCCGAGCTCCTCGCCGCGGATGCAATTCGTACTGGGCCCTTGGTGGCACCCAAGCTGCGGCGTTTTAACAGTGGGTCGATCGCGCCGTTTGGTGACTCCATGTTGTCGTCACTGGACAACTTTATCACCGCCGACCTGGACCTGACGCACAGCAAAAACGTCACGCTCCCCGCGGTTCGCGAAGTGGGGAGGATAAGATTTCTTAGTACAGTCGAATCGAACACTACAGAACGCATTCGAATGCCGGCGCTGGAGACGGCGATTCACTTGGCCTTCGTGGAACAGGCGGCCCTGACGTCGGTTGATTTTTCTGCGCTCACATCACTCGACACGATGGACGTGATTGAGGTTTCTCGGCCTGCGTATTGCCAGCTCAAGGAACTGGCCGAGCAAACCGGCGCCGCGCTGAACAACCGTCGCAATCCCGACGACGAATGCCCCTGAGCCCATGCAGACTAGACGCGCAACTTACATTTCGAAACCGAGTTCGACGTCGGCCTGAAAACCAAAGTTCTCACCGTAAGCGCCGAGATCATCAAACGCTGAGGTCTCCCACGCGAACGACTTTTGCACCCGGCCGTTCAAGAACAAGATCGGCAAGATCTGCAAACGTGCACCGGCGTAGAGCAGGTCGTTTTCGTTTAAAGTGAACGGCTTTTCGAAATTGCGCTGATGGTACGTGGCGAAGATGTCGAGGTAGCGCCACGGGATTTCGGCGTGGAGCATCAGGTGGTTGTCTTGGCCTTTGCTATCGATCGCAACCGCGCCTGCAAGAGTTACCCAGCCCGGTAACGAGTAGCTAACTTCGAGGTACGCGCCAAAGTGACGGCCGTCGTCGCGCTCGAGCACCGACCGCAGTTTGGTCGGGTAGTTCGGCCCCGTGGTCTGCAGATTCTGGGCGTACTGGTACTTTTGGTATTCGTACAGCACGTCGAAGTAGCTCGGTGTGTAGTTCGCATCGTAGGTGCGCAGTTCCACGCGTGTACGAAGCAAATGCACGGTCTCTTGCGAAGAGCGAAAGTTGAAGCGGCCCAAAGCGCCGAGCGTGAGACCGCCGCCCGCGTTTTGGATGAACGAATAGTCCGCGTAAGTTTTGACGTCCGTGCTGTCGGTCTTCACCACTTTGATTTCGGCATCGACACCGAAGATGTTCACAGCTTGTGTGTCGGCCGCCGGCGGGTTGCGCGTGTTGTTGTCTTCGTTGATCACGGACCCGACCATCGACTGACCGACAGGCGGTCGTCGCTGCAGCGTGATAGGCGCCCGTTGATCGGTGGTCCACGTAAAGCCCGCGGACAGCGATTCCGGCAGCCAATGGTCCGTAAAGAAGGCGAGTGGTTTGACGAAACCCAGCGCGCCAAAAACATTACCGCGCGTGATGTCTGCAACCGCCATTTCAAAACCGCCGTAGCGTCCGTAGGCATCAACTTCGGCGCCGACCACCGACTGGTTCACGTCGACGTTGGATGCGTAGCGGCGCATCGCCTGGCCGTGTCCGAGCGTTGATGCGTGTAACTGACCGACACTGAGAAAGACCGGGTCTTCCTTTTTGCCGTAGCGGATGTAGCGAAGGATTTTGACGAAGTCCCGCGGCTCGTCCCAATCACCCGGGCGTAAGCGGCCGGCTTGGTCAAAACCACCACCGGCGGACCCGGCATCGGCCGCGCTCCGCAAAGCAAAGATTTCGACGTTAAACGGAACATGCAGTCCAAGGTGCAATGCGTCTTGCATCAATCGAAAGTCGGCTTTCGGCGCGATCACGCCGTAGAGCACTTCGTCCTGAATCAGGCCGCCCAGGCGGACGCCGAGAAAGCTTCGTTTAGGAACCAGACGAATCACGCCGGCGTGGGCGAGTTCACCTTTGATGAAACCTGCAGTCTCTTCTGCAGGTTCGATTTCGGGTTGCGCTTCGGCCGTGGTGCTCGACAGCACGATGGCCATCAAGAGCGCGCTCATGAATCGCGTCGCACTCGCAATATGGTTCGACCACCGGCCGGTTCGGCGCGTTTGTTGCGGTCGTCTTGGTTCGAGTAAATGCCGCGGTGACAGTCGCGGCAAAGGTATGGATCCACATCCAAGAAGGTCGTCATTTCCACGCGACCACATTCGTCGCAGGTGGCCTCTTTTTCCGGTCGAATCCCCGCGGCTGGATCCGCGATATCGAGTTCGCTCGCGGCACATTTTCGACAGAGCATCTGCGCGGCGTTCCGCGGAATGAACGCCACCCGATCGTCGGCCTTGCAGCGAACGCAAGTGATCCGGCGTGAGACACGTGTGCCGTGTTTGTTCTTCACGTCGCGCACCGTGCGGACTTCTCGCTCCGGTGTTTCTTGTCCCTGCTGGCTCGGACCGTCGCGTCGACCCTCGGGCCGTGGACTCCTCTGTCTGTCGTGTATGCGGTCGTCGCGGCGTGACCGGTCGTCGTCGTAGCCCATGGCCGAAACAGCATAACCGGTTGGGGGGCGAAATGGGGTTCGGCATTGCGGGTGTAAATCGGCGTCTCCGCCGGGGATTCGATCACCGGGCGCCGATTCGATCCCGATCAAATGTCACCGGTGCACGGGTGTTGCGCCGAAACGAGTGTTCAGATAGGGTCCCGGCCAACCATGCAGGGCCTAACCGACCGTCAGCGCCAAATACTCGACTTCATTACGCATCGCATCCAGGAGCAGGGCTATCCGCCCACCATCCGGGAGATCGGTGAGGAGATGGGGATCAAGTCCACCAACGGGGTGAACGATCACCTGAAGGCCCTGGAGCGAAAGGGCTACCTCGTCCGTGAGGGTCTCAAGTCCCGCGCGCTCCGGCCCGTGAACATGGAGATGCCGGTCGAAAACAACGTGCATCCGATCGGTCCCATCGGGGACATGGTCTCGGTTCCCTTGCTCGGTCGTGTTGCCGCCGGTTCGCCGATTCTCGCCGAAGAGAACGTGCAAGAAAACCTGCATATCGACAGCTTCTTCTTGGGTGCTTCTCGCAGCCAAAAAGTTTTCGCACTGAGAGTGAGCGGCGATTCGATGATCGAAGCCGGCATCTTCGACGGCGACTACATCTTTGTGCGCAAGGCCCTCGAAGCCAAACCGCACGACATCGTGGTGGCGATGATCGACGGCGAAGCCACGGTGAAGACCTACTTGCCTAAGGGCGACACGGTGTACCTGATTCCCGAAAACTCCTCGATGGAGCCGATTCGCGTGCGCAAGTCAGATTTCAGAAGCACATCGATTCTCGGGATTGTTTGCGGCGTTTACCGCAAAATGTAAGCGATTCAGCCCAACGTACGACCCCAACGGCAAGGTCCTCAGCAAGACTGGGTGCCTCAAGCGGGCCGCGCTTCTCAAGCTGAAGGCCACAAAGAAGATGGATTTCGAGGCCGTCGCTGACCTCATGACGGTACCGTTTCTCAAGTAGGAGAAACTGCAACCAGAGTTACTAGCGGACTTTGCGTGCGCGAGCGCCGGCTTTCGGTTTGACCGCGCGGTCCAGGGCTTCAGCTTGGCGTAGCGTGTTGATTACGGGTTGCCGCCACGAAATGCCCGTGTCAACCGGGGCTGCATCGAGCTTATCGAACTGGTAGCCGTCGCCGCCGGTGTACATGAAGTCCAAGATGATCACGTTGTAGAGCTTTTTGTTTTTGATCGACCGACCGCGGCGATCGACGACCTTACGAATCTGGCGAACGCCCTTTCGCTCGCGGTACGTCCAACTGAAGCCGCCCGCAACGGGATGGTC